TTTTCATTTTTTTGCAGGTTTGTGTTTGAGGACCAAATAAATTTCATAAAGGAATCTGTGATGGCTGGTGAAAACGTACTGCCTATGATATATATTTAACTTGATGATACCTCCTGTGATATGTCTGAGTTGTAGCTTAGTGCTTGTATTTTTCATGCAGTATGAAGATGATATGGATGCAAAACAAAAATCTCAAGATTTGGCAGAGAAATCAGCTTTAGAGGAACTTCAGGTGCTATCCTTTTTTCTGCTTTCTTCTCCATTAACTCTGTTTGATCAAACTCAACTACCAAATGTTCTTTTCCGCATGTAATTCAAAATAAGTTCAGATTGTATGTTTCTTTGTATTAATATCCGTAGCAAAATCTAAAAGTTATTCCTGACAAGTTGTTGCATCTTTTTATTTGTGAATCAGGAAGTCAGAAGAAGTCTGCCAATTTATGCGTATCGTGAACAACTCCTTAAGGCTGTGGAAGAGCATCAGGTAATTCAAGCTCATCATCTAATAACAGATGATAAGCTTACCTTACAAATCCCTATCAGAAAGAGTATATTTCGGATATAACATCTGAGTATGTTTAAATGATACAAGATCAATAGAGAAGAAAACACTTCAAAAAAGAATGCATCAATCCTACCAAAATAGAGAAAAGAATGCATCAACAAATTTCAGTGTCATGTGCATATGAAGATGTAGATTGAAGTGTTTGGTTATGAAATTGTGCATAATGAAACCTTTTTTCAACTTCTTTGAATATATTAGGTTCTTGTCATAGTGGGGGACACTGGTTCGGGAAAGACTACACAAATACCACAATATCTCCATGAAGCTGGTTACACAAAGCGTGGAAAGGTACAACCCACCACATTCCCTTAACTTGCAGTATATAGTTAAAACACATATTTCCTTCAAAAAGGAACGGTTAGTGTAGAAGTCACCAATAAATTGGTGTGTTATTGTTAGGTTGTTGAGAACAAACTTAGTTGTTTCCTTTATTCCTGTGAAGTTGTCCTTTGTTTCTTCAAAAGCGATTTTATTAAAGGTGGACTTCCAGTTAGGAAGAAAACCATTGTTCATGAACTTTGTGGCTTGGGTTCAAAAGTATAGAGCGGATGGTATAGTATTTCCTTGATTACATAAAAACATAAAATGCTTTTCTTTTATATTTCAGGTTGGCTGTACACAGCCTAGAAGAGTTGCAGCTATGAGTGTTGCTGCCCGTGTGGCTCAAGAGATGGGTGTCAAACTCGGACATGAGGTATGTTGGCTTCTCGTTGTGCTCTACTGCTGGTAGTTGATTCTTTCACAGTTAGTGGTACATGCTCAGAATCTAACTTTTATTGGTGCTTGTTACAGGTTGGCTATTCCATTCGATTTGAGGATTGTACTTCTGACAAAACAGTTCTGAAGTATATGACTGATGGTATGCTTCTGCGTGAGCTGCTTGGTGAACCAGATTTGGCCAGCTACAGGTAAGAATACTCTTGCACATTTTTTTATTACTGTTGGATAGCTGAACGGTTTTACTTACTGATTGTGAAACCTTTCAGTGTCGTTATTGTGGACGAGGCGCATGAAAGGACTTTGTCAACCGATATACTGTTTGGATTAGTTAAGGCAAGTAAACTTTCTCGTCCAATGTCTCTTCTTACTTGGGTAACCTGGGTTATATTCTTGACATTCTGATTGACCCTTCGTATCTTTGACAGGATATAGCGCGGTTTAGACCTGATTTGAAGTTGTTAATATCTAGTGCAACAATGGATGCAGAAAAATTTTCTGATTATTTTGATACAGCCCCGATATTTAGCTTTCCAGGAAGAAGGTATCCAGTTGAAATCAACTATACAAGTGCACCTGAAGCTGATTACATGGACGCAGCAATAGTTACTGTTCTTACAATCCATGTGAGGGAGCCACTTGGAGATATATTGGTCTTCTTCACTGGTCAAGAGGAAATTGAAACTGCAGAAGAGATCTTGAAGCACAGGATAAGAGGTTTGGGTACGAAGATTCGCGAATTAATTATATGCCCGATCTACGCAAACCTTCCAAGCGAACTCCAAGCAAAAATATTTGAGCCAACTCCAGAAGGGGCACGGAAAGTAGTTCTGGCAACAAATATTGCTGAAACATCATTGACCATTGACGGTATAAAGTATGTTGTTGATCCAGGCTTTAGCAAGATGAAATCATATAACCCAAGAACCGGGATGGAGTCGTTGCTTATTACTCCTATCTCCAAGGCTTCTGCAACTCAACGAGCTGGTCGAGCTGGAAGAACAAGCGCAGGAAAGTGCTACCGTCTGTACACAGCATTTAACTACAACAACGACTTAGAGGAGAACACGGTGCCAGAAGTGCAGAGGACAAATCTTGCTAGTGTGGTACTTGCTTTGAAGAGTCTTGGAATTCATGATCTCATTAACTTTGATTTTATGGATCCTCCACCTGCTGAAGCACTTGTGAAGGCTTTAGAACTGCTCTTTGCTCTGGGTGCTCTAAATAAGCTTGGCGAATTGACTAAAGCTGGTAGAAGGATGGCAGAGTTTCCACTTGATCCGATGTTGTCAAAGATGATCGTTGTTTCTGACAAGTATAAGTGCTCCGATGAGATAATATCAATTGCTGCTATGTTGTCAATTGGTGGTTCCATCTTCTACCGTCCTAAGGACAAACAGGTTCACGCTGACAATGCAAGAATGAATTTCCACACAGGGAATGTCGGTGACCATATTGCTTTGCTAAAGGTTTGAACCTTCGGTATTCCTTATTTTCCGCCCACGTCCACTAGCAAGTTCATAGTGTTATTCTATGTATGTTTATCGTCTTCGTTTTTCTCTTTAGGTTTACAGTTCATGGAAGGAAACAAACTACTCTACTCAGTGGTGCTACGAGAACTACATTCAGGTACCAAGTGTTCTCTTTATATTTATCAGATCAGATGTGAATCTATTTTAGTTTTTTTGTGGCCATCCAGATGTGAATCCGTTTTGACATCTGTTGTGGATAAAAACATTTGTTCAGGTCCGAAGCATGAAAAGAGCCAGAGATATCCGTGATCAATTGGAGGGACTTCTCGAAAGAGTAGAAATAGAAGTCAGCTCAAACCTGAATGAGTTGGATTCAGTTAGGAAATCCATCGTTGCTGGTAAATTCCTTACTCTCCTTCCCATTTTATTGGTTAAAGTTATTAAATTCCTTACAACTATGTCTTTGCTGATGAACTTCTTACTTTTACTCAGGTTTTTTCCCACACACTGCAAAGCTGCAGAAGAATGGATCATATCGAACAGTAAAGCATCCCCAGACAGTACACATACATCCCAATTCAGGCTTATCTCAGGTTAATTAATTTTCACTCTACATATACTGATAAACTAGAATATCTTGTTGATAGAATCTTAAAACTTAGAATATTGATGAGTTCTTCTTAATTCTTATTGTAGGTATTGCCGAGATGGGTTGTATATCATGAACTAGTGCTTACTTCCAAGGAATATATGCGACAGGTACTTAATATGTTTGATGATGCAAGGTTCTTTTTATACTTAGAATTGAATCTCTGTTTTGGTCTTTACATCTTTGGTTTCATTCATCGGTTTGTTTGTAAGCTAAGAACCCCTCGTAAATCTGAAAATGCAGGTAACAGAGTTGAAACCAGAATGGTTGATTGAGTTAGCTCCTCACTACTACCAGCACAAGGACGTCGAAGATGGTATGCACCTTTCTTTCTCTCTGTCAAATTATTCTTTTTGTTATAACCTTCTCTTTTCTATAATAGAATCTTTCAATCTCTAAACATCTTAATTATTTTTGCAGCTACATCAAAGAAAATGCCCAAAGGAGCTGGAAAAGCTGCAATATAAGAAGCCCGAGTGTATCGGCGAAAGAATATTAGAAACAGATGCGAGTACATAGGACTTTGACAAATGGTTAGAAGAGCTCTCTTTACTCATTTTTGGTCAGCCGCTTGAGTTTTTGTTAGAAAATAATTAAATTGTTATGAAGTGTCCAAATGAATGACCAACCTATTCCCATTGTTATATATTGAAAGGTCTAAAACGATGAAGTTGTTGGGAAGAAAAACAGCGGACAGTTTGTTTCTGAGCAAGGCAAACCACATGATTTTCAAAACAGAAAAAAGAAATACTCAGCATTTAGCATGATATAAAAGTTCACAAAACTTTAAGCATTTATAAAAATATACAATTACTACTAACCTAACAAAATATCTTGGAATACATCATACTTGTCAAAGACTTGACTAAAGAGATTAAGAACATAATGGAACACATGTCCAAACATTTATCTTGTACCAATGTTACATTCCAAATTTCCAATCACATTAACTTATGAACGAACATCTCTGATCATTCATATCCCTAGAGAAACCATACAACGAAATTCACCAATTACTAGAAGAAACAATCGCAAAATTCAAAACTTGTTTGATATCCGTGAGCTAAGTCATATTGACAGCCAAAAAAAACACAATTGGCTTTGCCTCATGTTCTTTCCCTTTCAGAGAATGGATTCATGTTTATATCCTTTCGTAATTCGAATACCCTATTGGGTCGAGGATTATGATTCCAAAGGAAGACTCATGAGTTTCTACCACAAAGCCAATTGTTATCTAATACATCAAACCATTCTTCTTATATACCTGATTAAATCCTCACAAATCTCCGATGTGGGATTAGTTAGTGATTCCAATTTCCAACTTTAAAACTTTGGCCGACATGATCATCAAGGTACCTTAAACCTCAAGTAATTTGTCTTGACCCTCCTCGTAGGCTTTTTCATGTTTATTGGCCTTCTGGGCCGAAATAATAAGCCCGTCACTCTTTTTTTTCTTTAAATAATGTATATATTCAAAAGCTTCTCAGTCGTGGAGAAGGTTTGGGTCACACTTTTTTCGACGACAACATTAAGGATGAGGCTTTCGTTTTCTGCCATACATCTAAAGATAGAACACACTAACGTGAATAAAAGCAATTAAGATCACTCTTTATATTTTTTCCCACTTTCCTTTGAGAAAACTTAGACAAAAAAAGTAAACAAACGAACCAGAAAGAAGAAAAAAAAATGGCATTGAGAATGTGGGCTTCATCTACAGCAAATGCTCTCAAGCTCTCTTCTTCTGTCTCCAAATCTCATCTCTCTCCAGCTTTCTCCATCTCCAGATGCTTCTCCTCAGGTAAGAAAAAGAAACAACAACATCCTCTTACACTACTTGTATGTGTGCATTGGTTTTTATTTTAGGATTTTGTCTGAAACTGTTTACTGGGTGTGTTTGGGGTTGTCAAGTGTTGGAAGGACTTAAGTATGCAAATTCTCATGAGTGGGTGAAGCATGAAGGCTCAGTTGCTACAATTGGTATCACTGACCATGCCCAGGTAACAAAAGCATAGCTTTTGAAGCTAATAGTTTAGATCAGTTTAGCTCAGAGACTAGTTTAGATCAGATTTAGTGTGTCTTTTGATGATGTGCAGGGACATTTAGGAGAAGTTGTGTTTGTGGAGCTGCCAGAACCAAACAGTTCTGTGACCAAAGAAAAAAACTTTGGAGCTGTTGAGAGTGTTAAGGCCACAAGTGAGATTCTATCTCCAATCTCTGGTGAAGTCATTGAGATTAACACAAAGCTGACAGAGTCACCTGGTTTGGTAAGTCTTTACATCTGAATAACACTCCAGTGGTGGTGCTATCGCACGGATCAAAATGATTAGTCGATTTTTCGTTCTTGTAGATCAACTCAAGCCCTTATGAAGAAGGATGGATGATAAAGGTGAAACCGAGCAGCCCTGCAGAGTTAGAAGCCTTGATGGGTCCAAAGGAATACACCAAGTTCTGCGAAGACGAAGACGCTGCTCACTAGAGGGTTTCTTCGCTTTTTCATGTCCTTCAAAAACAGAGCAAAACAAGAGAATCCATGCTAAAGTTTCAACCTTTCACTTATCAAATGTTTCTTAGCTTGTACCTGTGTGATACTAGTTTGGTTTTTAAGATCATGCAATCAAAATAATCAGAGCTTTTTAACTTACATAAGACATGTCTAAAGAAGCAAAACACATAAAAACACAACTTCCATTGATTTTCAATCATATAGTTTAGGAGAAACGTTAACATATAACAATGGTCTACTTTTAGACCAAACAAAAGAAGTCTTATGCATAACAAGTAAGACTCAGAACTGTACATTTATACTCCTATCCACGACAGATACCGTTGGGGAAGGTCGGCGAAACAGCTACATCCACATCCGGTGAAGGTGAAGGTGACTCGTCATAAGAAATCGAAATCAGCTCAGCTCTAAGCTTGTCAGCATCATCAGCACTTCTTTTGGTGGTGGCTCCGTTTGTTGTGGTACTACTGACGACAGGTTTCACATCTGAGGACGTTATAATATAATCCTCCTCAGGTGAAGTGTAAGAGATTTCGATAAGAGATTCACGAGCTTGTTCTTGAGAAGTCTTGTCACTCGGTTGTTCCATCAATGCCTCTAAGCTTCTGCATAATTTTTTAACAAACCCATCTTACATTGTTCTATATGACAACACAATTCAAATCTCAATACACAATCCAAACTAATCCAAAATCACACATTCACATAGAAACAATTAAAATTCTCCAACCAAACTAACAACAAACAAATACATAAACTTTATATATATCCATGGAAGCTTAAGAAACAGAACATACAGTTACAAAAAAAAAATATAAAAATCAAAACTTTACAATTCAAAAGATTACAAAACGCAACAAATCACTAATCTGTATAATACCCAGATAAACCCAAACCCTAAAATCTCAAAATATGGTTCCCAAATCGAAGTCAACGCAGTTTCTGATACGAAATCGTGAAAACAAAAAAAAACAGAGAGAAGAAATAGGGAAAGAGACGACAGAGAAGAGAGATGGGTACCTTGGTTTGTGGTTGGATGATTCAGACGAATCTTTCTTCTTCTTCTTCGTACACACTAAAACTACGGTAATGAAGAAAAAAAAAACACGGAAAGATCGAGACAAATTTTGGATAATATTCTGGTTTTTTTTTTTATAATTTAAAGGAAAGTTTTCGTATTTATATTTCCACGTTTTTTTAAATATTCTTTTGCCAACTCATTCACACGTCAACAATGATGTTCAATTAGCAAGTGGGGGTGGATTTTATTTGACAACTAATCTCTTCTCTTTTTCTCTAATAATACTATTCAATCATCTAGATATATATTAATTAGCACTAATTAAGCTTATAAAAAGATTATAGATTTTCTTAGATTTATGATATGTGTAGAGAAAGGTTTTGAAATATGAGAAATTCAAATGGAAATAATTAATAATGGTATTTTTGGAGAAAAAAAAAACTCATTATAGTGGTAATTTATAAAATTCTCCATTCATAGTATTGAAAAAGTAGAAGATAATATTATATATAAGTTTAGGATGTCAAAAAATGTAAATATAACTATTCAAATTTGGGATATCTATATCTATTTATATTACTATAATTAATTTATCAAATATGTTTCGGTATTTTAGGGATTTTATTGTATTAGTGGGCGTGAGAAATAAAGGTACAAAGATAATTTTAGGGATAAGTTTAGTAAATTGTAAAGGGAAAATAAGGTAAATAAGTATTCCCTCTATTCCTAAAAGATAAATTTTCTAGATTTTTCACACATATGAAGAAAACATCTAAAAATTAATGATAACTGCATTATATTTTTTGTTTTACAGTTTTTTAGAATTCTAAACCAATAATATTTAGTTATTTACTTTGAAATTTGTAAATACTAATTAATAATGCATTGATAAGTTAGAACAATTCTCTTTTCTAAAATAAATTTTATCTCCTAAAAATATCATCTTTAAGAAACAGATGGAGTATATGGGTATGGCTAATATAACAAAGGAGGAGGATCAAATCAAATACATTATACATGCTGTAAAATTTATGTAATTACAAATATGTTTTAATCGTTCTTTATAAATGCCCTCCACTTTTGGATTCGTCTGAGAAAGCACGACAAATTAATTTTGCTTTTGTCAAACCGACAATGAAGTAGATGTTAAAAGAGGATAGTTGACATTAAAATAACATGTCAAAAAGGTAAGTTGACTAAGAAATGTTGTTATAAAAGAAAAATTAACGTAAAAATCTTCTTATAAAGAGAAAATAGTAATTGAGAAAATTATTTTCCTTTTCACCGATTTTTATTTATTAAACACCAAAACAATACAAAAATGATAGAAATTCAGAAAATTATAAATCTGAAACACTAAACTATAACCGTTGAACCAGAACACTCCACGACAATCATGTGGTTACCACAAAGTTTATTAACAATATATGTTTGGATTAATATCGTATTAATTATTAACCTAGACAAATCTAGTACCTTCGTTTGTATCTAGTTTAGGTGAATTGCTTAACACCATTTTTTTGTTAAGGTGAATTTCCGTAGTCTTGACTTTGTGTTGTTCTAAGTAATCAGAATTGGTTAGGTCACTTGCAGAATAGTACATAAATATTGTCTGGCATAAGACTTACGTATTAACATGCATGGTGGTCGAACACACAAGTAATTAACGTTTTATGAAAACTTAGTAGCGATGTAATTTCGATTGGAAAAATAATTTTTTTTCTTTTCAACATTGAACCATAACTGGCCGGCACATTAACCTAATCCCTACAAATATGTAGGGAGCGGGACTCGATCCTTGATGTGATGATGTATGAATGTCTGTCCATCAGTGCACTTATCATTTGTTACTAGACTAAAGTCACTTCACGGAGAAATCAATTTCAAAATTCAAACAATCGAAAACCGCGAGTAATTTCGTTCATCTAATTAATATATATCGGCGATCGACTAAAAATCCAAAAACTAGAACACATTTCGACAAAACTTTGAAAATATCTTCTAGTAAAGACGACAATAATGGCCAAAAACTTTTCGCTGAAAACACAACTTGGAAAGAAGAAAGAGTAGACCAAGAAGACTTCTTGATCACAGAATTTAAGAAGTCATTATCAATCGTATTTTGATTTTTATGATTCCACTTTTCTTTTTACCCTAAAATATTCTTTTGCCAGCCAATACACACGTCGACAACGATATGCAATTAGCAAGTGGGGTTTTAATTGAAATCTAGTCCTTTAATTCTCTCTGATATTATAGTTTTTACTGTGCAGTTGTTGTCTATTTGGTTTGAGAAGCATATGTCTTCTTTATGTGGCCTTTCAAGTTAATTTCAAGCCCATGCAAGCTTTCCTTAGTTGTGTTCAAGAAGGCCTTTGGTCACCATGCAATATTTCATGGACATGTTACTCTTAAGAGAAAGAAGTAAATGCTATATATAGTGAAGGTTTATTTTGGTATATAACAAAAAACTGGAAATAGCAAAATGATACATGCAAGAACGTGGTCGAAAATGTAAGTTTTTTTTTTCCTTCCAATTAATTTGATTGATAGTAATCAAAAAAAAAAATTAATTTTATTGATGAATGTAATCAAGATCGTTGTTTATTTTTCAAACATATATGTACAGAATTATATATCGATGTTGACATATATTATATATGAATATTTAAATAAGTGTTTTTAATTAAGTGTTTAACGATTTATTTTTGTGATTTTTTAATTATATTTCAAGTCCATCAAATTTCACTACTTTGTGTAAAAAAAGTTGAAATATACTCCGAGTAATGTAGGACTTTGTTGATCCAAATAATGTAAAAAAACTTATATCATTATTTCACGTTTTAGATACTTAGATAGATTACATGATAATAGATTACACTAATATATATCTAAATAAAATTTATATTTAAAATAATATGCTATCAGACAATCACCTTTTTCACGGTAACAGCTAAATAAAAAATCATCAAAATTAGCTGAATACTTTTGTCCAGAAATTTTCTTGTTGTTGCCATAAAATTGCTCTAATTTGTATTGATTTTTTGTTGAGGTCATTATCTATATTTTCTTTTATGTAGAATTTAATTTTTCTTAACAAATTTTGAAGTTGTTAGCTGTCCACACGACAAAACAGATAAAATCTTTCAACTTTAAAATGATTTATTGTAAGTTAGATTAAAAGGGGGAACATGAGAATTTGGGTCACACTGTTTTGATTTCCAACGTAACAGTAAGTCTTATTAAGACATTTTTTTGTTTAATTTTTAGTGTATCGTTGTTGTGAAATGGATAATTAATTATTGCATTCAGAATAACATATTTTTCTCGTGTCATATTTCTTAATATTATAGTATAAGTTTTCTGAATGGCCTAAGAAAGATTTTATATAAAATTTTCAAGCATATATACAGTATATATATATACATATAATTCCTTTAATAAAATTTTATCAAATTTGCATAAAAATAATTAATTTATTATAATTCCTTTAATAAAAAACATAATCAAATATGTGGGTATCAAATTTTAATTCCTTTAATACAAATATTTTAATTTATTATATAATTGCTAAATATTTAATATATTAATAAAAATTATACTCTTAGAGCATGTCCAATGATGATTTAAAAGGTGTATTAAAGGTTGATTTTAAAGTATAATAATCAAGTTTAATGAAAATGTTGGTCTAATTATTAAAATTTGTGTCTTAAATAAGACCTATTTGTGGGTGTCTAAAAAATCAAAATTTTCATAAAACATAATTAATTGTTTTAGACCCTTTTAATGGGTGTCACCATTGGAGATACTCTAATTAGTTGTTACCTGTTCAAAAATGATAAGTTGTAAAATAATTGGTGTACGTTTACAAAACCCATGTTATTTTTTAAAAATGTATGGATAAAATCATCATGCACGTTTTTATTTAAGAGAATTTTTGTATATAGTATTTGAAAAATAATATTTTTGAAATTCTCCCTTATATTTAAGCAATTGTTAATTAATATGATATTTTGAAAAATCATTAGTGGTTCTCCATATGTTATATGGCAAACTCTGCCTTCTTTTTTCTGTCAAAATATTATACTGTAAACACGATAAAGAAATACATAACTGAAACAAGCTACTTAACACTTGCATTATAGTTCACAGTTTCTTAATTACATAATGATAAAACTCTTGTAAAGTAACTACATTGTTAGGTTTTCTTTTTGTTAAAAGGGATTTACATTGCTAGGTTTTGCATCTATATATGTTGGGTGTCTTCGTCGCAAAATTTGCAAAGTTCTCAATGATTTCATAACTCGAATATACAGATTCTAATATCGATAAAATATTCCAAGAACTTGTCGTAGCAAGCACAGCTGAATCTTATACGTCTTTGACGACGTTTTGCTCCAACCTTTACCTTCTTACTCGCGGACTGATCAGTCTCTTAGATCTTGATTCGTACTTGGGAGTTTTTCTCACGAACATGGAAGACACTGTTTCTTGCACATCCATGTTTAGGGACATGATATTTGATTAATAAGATAAAACCTAATATAATCAAGATATGTAACGTGATGAAGGATATATTCCCATAATTCATGTTTAAGAGTGCATAAGCCAATCAAAAGCCACGAACGAGTTTTTGGTAAACAGCTAGCTCGTCGTATACGATATGTATAATATATGCATGTAACATATTATATAATGATGCATATATATTAACGTAAAGTCACATCGATTAGGATTTCATATCGAAGTAATATGACACTTTCTTATAGTGTGGCCTTTATTGTTTCTTAATGGTGAGATAGTTTCTTATAATGCCTTATATTGAAAAAAAAATATGATTATCAACATATCCACTTTACAATGCTATATTTTATAAGCCAATTTCTAAACCACTAAAATATTTTATCATGTAAGTAAAATAATTTACTGTAATGTTGATACATTGGTTGAAAGTTTTTTTTTTTTTCTTTCAAAATGATTAATTATGAAACTCTTGAAAACTAGGATTCATCTGGACCTCTCATAACGATTTCAGTTATGATTGATATAAATGACTCGCAACTTTGAATATGCTAAGTTCTTGATGAAACATGGTCTACATTACAGTATATCTAATTTACTCTTAACTT